ACACCTGCTCTAACTGATACCGGGCGAGCAGCCAGTCTGGAGGACTCCTTGGGAGGACTCTCCCCTACCACCCCTGGCCGCCAGAGATGACGCCTTCATGGACGACTTCGACTTTGACAACCTTGGCGATGAGTAGTCTGTACTCGTCGCCCCTTAGAGTGTGTTTTTATTTTGAACTTTTTATGTTTGCTCCATGTGTTTGAGGAGCTTGAACTGAGTCTGTCGTTGTTTTTGTACTTTTGGTTTTTTTGTGGATTGTTTATTTTGTGACCATCCGGGCTAAACTCTGATCCCTAACGCACAGTGTGCTAGTGTGTTCTTTGTATTCCCTTCATGCAGAACTGTCCGTTCGTCCCATATGTTCCCCGCTGACTGGTCCACTTCCAGTCTCCTGGCAGTATTTGAATCCGGTAACATCGTTCCCCTTATCTTTCCCTCTGTTCCATTGAGGGCAATGTCGTGCTTAAGTGTGGGTGGGTGTTTCTCTATCTTTGACTGCTAGATGAGTTTGTGTTCTTGGAGCCTAGTCCACTGTCCAATTTGATGAATTGAGGGCTCCAAGTACTGTTCCCTGCAAAATCCTGCTCAGTATGCTTTGAATTGACAGTCTTTATGGTGATATGCAACCTAGGGAGAAAGTTGTAGCACTATGGACGATGTTGAAGTATAAGATTTGTCCTATCTATCTCTCTACTGTGCCGGTTGATTTTGTGAACTAGTGAATTTAGGACCGTTGATTCGTGTGGTATTGATGACTCCTCTTATGTTGTGTTGTGGACTCGTGTATCGAAAAAGGGTGCTCATGTGAAAAATAAAAAGCAGTTGATCATCCATGTCAAAAAAATTTGAAATTCTAAGACATGGGGTAAGCCCAACGTGTGTCGCACCGTTCATTGCACAAAATCAGGTTTTGGAAGAGATTTTAGTGATCCTTGGAGGGGTAGGCCTACAAGGTGAAGCTATGTTGTCTCTAGTACAAGTAAAATTTCCACCCGTCGAATGGTTTGCCTACTTGAGGATGTGTTTTTAAGGGCACGGATAGAGCTTCCAACCCCCCTTAATTTCTTTGACCCTCCACATGAGTTGAGGAAAAGGAGTTAAAAGAAGTACTCTGGCGAGCGCCAGATGTACAGAAATTGCTCTTGCTCGACCAATAAGGATTGACCGTCCAAAAGACTGCAGATGGAACCCCCGCCAAGTGAATGAAAAGGAAAAAAAGAGTAAAATGAAAGTGAAAAAGGGGTTCCAACGGTGAAATGAAGTGAAAGAGCACCCCGGTACAACGAGTCCTTGGTTGTTGAATTATGTGAGTCTCCTTATCCATGAATTGACTGTCTTAGTTCCACTGCTTCTCATGATCCTGGCTTGAGTCTAGTACTCTTATTGAGAGAGATAGGAGGCGTCTTAGAAGACCAGTTGACCTCGTAAGTTGCTAAATGATCTAGAAATTCCTCTGCCAACGATCGAGGTTGCATGTTGCTATAGAGGTCTGGAGAGTTGCATTGGTTTGAGTCCGGTTTGCTTGGGGACAAGCAAACGGTTAAGTGTGGGGGAGTTTTATAGACCGTTAATTGCACATGTTTTTACCCCTATTCTTGAGCCATTTGAGATGTTGATTCTCGTGTTTTAGACCGATTTCACGCTAGGTTGTTCTTGTTTGTGATATTTCAGGTCCTAGTACGTGAATGAAGGTTTGGGAGCGAGTTCGGTGTCGATTGGATGAAGATCGGACGTGTGGCGAGACGCTGAGGAAGCCACACAGGCACTCCTAAAACCCACACGGCCGTGTAAGGAACCCATATGGCCGTGTGGGATTTACCGAGCCTTCACACGGGCATCCTGGAGATTCCACACGGCCGTGTGTCCCTGGCCGTGTAGGAAGCCTGAAGTCCACTTAATCGAAACTCCGCATTTTGGCACTCACACGGGCAGCTGGGTAAGCCACACGGCCGGTGTAGCCTGCCCGTCTGGTCGAGATTTTCTGGGTTTTTACCCAATTTCGAGCCAAAGGAGAGGGGATCGACTTTTCAGAGCAAAAACAGAGCCCTAGAGAGAGAAAGTGCGAAGAACACATCCTAGAAGTGATTTTGGAGCTGGGTTTCATCAATCAAGCTTGGAGATCATCATAGGAGTGAAGATCATCATCCTAGAGCAGATTCTTCCTATTGTTATGAGTATGACTGCTTTGTATTCTGTTTTCCTCTCTCTCTATGGAGTAGAACCCTCTCTCACTTGGGTATGAAGAACCCTAGTTCCATGTGTTAGGGGTCATGATTGTAATGACTTGGGATTGCTATACTGTTTGGTTTTAATCGAATGATGCATGATTCATTGAATTGATTGAAGTCTGATCAGCATTTCTTGATTTCTGCGGCAACCTGAGATAGATAGAATCTGATTAGGTTGTTAGAGCTTCATCATTCGGTAGTAGTAGATTGGCTATACGAGAGTTAGTCAGTCTACTGCTTTGTACTGGAATCCAATTCCAGTAGTGGAGTTCTGTGCTTATTGCTTCAGCTTTCTATCCCGGTGAAGACTAGTCGTCTGCCGGGTAGTTAGACTGAGAGGGCTTGGTCAACTTAAGAGATTCCAAGCTACTGTCGGATCTTCCGCAGTTTAATCAACAGTAAATCAACCCAGGGTTAATTACAACTGTGACCTAACTAAGGAGCTAGGAGGACTCATTCCCGAGTGACTCTTCCCTCGCTTCAGAAAACCGAATAATTTCCTACTTTCTTACTGCTTTTAGTTAAAACCACAATCAATCGACTTAGTTGGCTAGATAATAGATATTCACGGAGTAGGCAGTAGATCTAGACCCCGGTTTGATAATTAGAACTTGCCACCTGCATTCCTGGACTGCGATTACACTTGGTCGCAGTTTGGTGTTGTGTCGTAGCGTGTCAATACCATTGACCATAACAAACAAGTGGAAGTAGTAACACATTCTTGGAATCCAAATAATCCAAGTTTTAGAAAACTCCATGGGGTCATTTGGATTTAGGATTGTAGTGAGGGATTTGTAAGGAATTTAAAAACAATCCCTCGTTCTGCAGGATTTTAAAACAATATTGTGTTTGGCAAAATGAGAGATTGTGCGCGCTATTTCACAATCCCTCGCCTTTTGTCACGCTTTTCCAGTCTTTGCCCCTCCCTTAATTCTTTCGTTCTTCTTCTCTTTCATCCCTCCAATTGACCAATTCCTCACACTCTCCGTCAATCTTCCTCTTATTTTAGCTTGATTTCGTCGTCGTCGAAGAATAGGTTTTGGCGATCGGAGGGTGGTTCTTCCATTGAGCAAATGTTACGTCCTGGGGAGATGACGAGAATGCCGATGCCTATCTTTCTCTAGTGGGTTTTGACCGGATCCATATCAAAACCAAACCGACATCCAGATTTTGAATGGACACCAACAGCGTGCTCGTGTGTGGTTATGGCAGTGCCGACATGGATTTTTATGTGCGAATCAAAGGAGTTTGGGTTCTGGGAATTGTGGGGTTATGACTTCCCGCCTCGTGGGCCCTCTATTTTCTTATTCATCCATTCATCTGTCGGCGACCTTCGCCTTCTCCCCGAGCTCCGTCTCCAAATCCATAAAACCTAATATGAGAGAGAGACTTCCCTCCTCCATTTGAGTTGGGAGATGATGGGTTCCAATGCACAATTTTACTCAATCAATCAAAATTTCTACACATTCTTGCTCTCGTAATGCGCTTGCAATTTCTTCCTGCAATTAAGGGATGAGAATGATTGGAGGGGAGGAAGAAGATAGGTAAAAGATGAGGGTAAGATTGTAACTTGATTTTTCTAATTAAAATTCTATGTTCACATCCAAACAAGTGATTTACTAAAATTCCTCATATTAAAAACCTAAGACTGTGAGTACAATCCTAGGTTAGCAAACCTTTATCAAACCACCCCATGTTGCTTGAGCATCACTATATCTGAAATCTCATGACCCATTACTAAGCCGTAAGATTGTTAACATTGGGCCCCAACGGGTCACAAATAGGGATAACAATTTTGGCATGATCTATTTTAACCGACCTATTTGATTTGTTTTGGGTAGTATCTACAACCGTCTTGTCAATTTTTTTTTTTATCTATTTCTGCCTAAATCACTTGTAATTATACTCAAATAATTTAGAATTTTAATTTTATTACATGATATTTAAGATATAATAATGTTGAAATTTGCAAATAGGCGAGAATCTCAATTTTCCGAATAAATTAACTACATTATCATGTTATAGTTTGTTACTTTTTTTAATGAAATCTAACGTTTAAATTACACTCATATAGATCGAAGTGCTCCAACCATTGCTCTAGTTAATTACCGGATTTATATCTGACCGGCCACGCGAGATAGCCGCTCCGAGCCTCCGACCTTTCCATCGCCATTCCTAGCCAAAGTCCAGAGAGCTCCGTCCATCCATCATATTTGTTATTTTATTCTGTTCGCGGCTGACGACGTCAATTCCGAGCTGGTCTTCCCTATCGACTGAATTTCCTTCTCTCTACCCCCTTCCGTCTGTCTTCTGGTCGTCGCCACAGCCCACATGTATGTGCTCGCACTCTCCGCCCGGCGTCCATGCCCTTTTATGTCTTGAAACAAAGAATTCAGACTTCTCGAAGCTTCGACTGGTCCACTTCGTTCCAAATGATTGGATTCTTCTCTTGCAATTACGGGATCAATCCTTCTAATTGATTGCATTCAGCTCCTCGCATGATGAACGCTTCGTACTAGGGCTTAGAATTCGCATGAGTGTTCTTTAGGGATTTGGCGTAGAATTGATTGTGAACGCAGAACGTAGAAAGAAACGAAAATTTGGCATCAGCCTGGTTTTGAGCTGTTCTGGTTTTGATCTTCTCGGGTTGATAATCATGCATCGAACTTGGCAGATTTTTGCTTAGAATTCGTTTTCCATGCAGGTTAGCAGGTTGATTGGTTGAGAAATTCAGTAGTTAATTGGTGGAGGGTATAAGGGAAGTTGCTAAAGATGGGAGTGAAACAGGCTATAAAGAGCCTGGATGCCTTCCCTCGTGCAGAAGAACACTTGCTGCAGAAAACGCGTTCTGGAGCTTTTGGTAACCAGACTCTTTCCATTTTTTGGTTTGGATCAAACATAAATGTTTGCTTGTGCTCTGTGGTTAACTGTTAATACACAATCTGCTACCCAAAATGGTTCCCCATTTGAACTATTTGTTCTTTACTTAGTCTGAAGTATGGATCATTTGCTATCGTCATATCACTCTTATTTAAGTTGTGCTCTGTAGTCGGTACAATGGTCATCTGTGCGGCTGCGGCATTAGTGAATGAACAATCTCAGTTTCTTTTCCCATGTGGCACACCCTTCTTTGCTCGTTTTTTGGGTTTGATTGAGAAGAAAACCAATGTGTTTATGAAACTCCAATGTCTTAGGACCCTCTGATATTTTTTGCACTCCTATCTTCATCAACTAACATCGTTCTGACTCAAATCCGGGATACTTTTCTAATTTCCAACTGATCTTTTACAGTTTCTGTTATCGGTCTTGTGATAATGGCTACACTGTTTCTGCACGAGCTCACTTACTACTTCCACACGTATACAGTTCATCAGGTGAGTAACAGGTATCTATATCCATTATAGATTCTCTTAAATCCTGGAAAAAGAGGGAATTTGGTCTGTGTCTTAAGTTATATGACTATATCCGCTTCGGATATGCTATGTCTTGGAAATAGTAGGTGTGTTGTACAAACTAAACAATTCTGATATTCCAATGTATGAGGTTCTCTTAAATATTGAATGTAAATACATATTGTCATCTGTGCTGTATTTTCATTCCATATATTAATGGATTCTTTGGTTGTGTATTTCTGGCAGATGTCTGTTGATCTGACACGTGGACAAACTCTTCCAATTCATATAAATGTTACATTTCCTTCTCTACCTTGTGATGGTTAGTTATGCTGCTACTTTCTTCATCCATTCTATGTCTTGTCATCTTATACAAATATCAAGTTATTATGGTTTCCTCGTTGAGTTATTATCATCTTTTCTTCTTAGTCTTAAGTGTGGATGCGATTGACATGTCTGGCAAGCATGAGGTGGATCTTGATACAAACATATGGAAAGTAAGATCATGTTCCTTTCTCTTGAAGGATATTTCATATGCAAAGTTGTAATTTGTGTATTATGGCACTTGCTACTTTATCCCAGAATTGCTTGTGTTCTCTGAAATTGTTCGAGAAGTTTGAGGGAGTAGGTGGTTCTTGATCCAGAAATACTGAAAGTAAAAAGTACTACATTTTCTGGCGAAGGGCTTAAATGAGTATTCATACAATGAACGATTAAACTCAGACTTCTCATTTTATGAATTTAATGGCTTGAATCTTTGCATTGTTGGCTATGGTTCCACGCTTCTCAGCATTGAAAGTAATATGCTTTGGATGAGAAGAAACATTGAAAGTAATATGCTTTGAAAGTAACCTTTCCCGTCTGTTTCTTGTTTTTTTTAGTTTCTTGAATGCTTTGGTTAAATCACTTGGAGACAACAATATTAAGTTCTAACGAAAGCAGATTATTGCAGCTTCGACTGAACAGTCATGGCCAGATCATCGGCACTGAATATTTGTCGGACCTTGTGGAAAAGGAGCATACTCACGATCATGGTAATATACAATCACATCAGTAAAACACCTTATCTGTTGAAGAACTGACGTCCGAGCTATATGGCATTTCATATGTAGTTAACATTATTGAAGAGAGGTAGGGTCTAGTTAGTGATAGCAACAGTATGTAGGGAGATTAAGTCTTATCGTTGTATTTGCTATAGTTTTGTGCATGTGATATTTTTGTCAACTAACACTATCATTCGGTGTTTATTAACTGGCCTATACACTATGCAAAGTTGGCATCTCTGTTTTGAAATATTTCCTGGTCAAAGAAAATCGAATTTAAATTCTTAGGTTAATGTCTGCCAATCACCGCGTGCAGATGACAAAGAACATCATCATGATCTTGAACAAAAACTTCACAGTCATGGCTTTGATGAAGAGGCTGAAAATATGATCAAGAAGGTGAAGCAAGCTGTGACGAACGGAGAAGGATGCCGGGTATGCCACTTTGGAGACTTTAACTTTTTAATGCCCTGAAATTTACGTGCGATAGTTTCTTATTTGTTGAATTTGACGTATCTGCAGGTATACGGTATCTTAGATGTCCAACGTGTTGCCGGGAACTTCCACATTTCAGTTCATGGGTTGAACATTTTGGTTGCACAAATGGTCAGTGTTTAACATTTTCTTTTGATGATTTCTATGTTGGTTACATCACTTATCTGATATCTGGAAAGACTAATTCACCTAGTCAACTGTTTGTACAAGTAATGTATGTATAGCTTCCACCAAACTGTTGAATGTGAAGTTTTCTGCTAAGCTGTTAACGACTGCATGGTGTTTTTTGCCATTGCAGATTTTTGAAGGAGCTAAGCATGTCAATGTGAGTCACATCATTCACGATCTATCGTTTGGGCCAAAATATCCTGGAATTCACAACCCTCTTGATGGGACAGAGAGGATTCTGCATGAGTCAAGTGGAATATTCAAATACTATATCAAGGTTGGGGCTTTCCCTACTAATGAATCTTGCAGTTATGACTAAACCATTTTGAGCTTTTGGTTCGGTGAAAAAAAAAGTTTAAATGGCAGGAAAATATTGGATCTAACTTTAGGCCGTTCCATTGCTATCCCTGCTCTAAGCCAGAAGTGAGATATCCCTGTATTTCTAAATAATTCTCTTCCTGAGCGAATTTCTCTTAGCCCACTTTGTTTAGGCCATCACCAGCATTTATGAATAGAAGTGATCAATCGCTTCTAAATACTATATTTGTAGGAACATTCTGAGGATTTCTCTATTGTGGTAGACCAGAAGGCTCAGTTGAAAGTGGCTTCAATAGTTAGTATACAGTTGAAACTGAACATCTCTCTGGCTAGGATCCATAGATAGTGATAACCTGTTCTATGTGCTTTTACAGTTTTACTGAACTCCTTGTTCATGTAGACATGCACAATATGTAAATGAAAATCCGATTTGAGATATTTGGGAATCTGTACTGGTGGACATATATGAGAAGGTCCCCTGATTGTCATTTTATCTTGCTAACTGAATGGTGGTTATTCTATTAGATAATCACAATAGAGGGGTTGGAATAGAGTTCAGGATCCTGGAAGGTTTTATCTGTTCTTATGGAGGTTCTTAGACCTAGATTTAGATAAACTAGTGAGGATGCTTTCTTCGATATGGGAAGTTTACTATTACGATCTATGGAAAAAAATTTTGTCCGCAGACAGTCTTAATTTGAAATTCTCACTGCCCCACCGAGTGATTTTTCTTGAGTACGAAATGTAGATCCCTTTCTGTCTGTGTTCGTTTTTGCTTTGCTTGCTATTTTATTTTAATGAAAATTACGTGGTATAGCTTTTAGCAATTACAACGTTCTGCCCCTTAATATCTTGCAGATCGTTCCGACGGAGTACAGATACATCTCTAAGGAAGTTTTACCAACTAATCAATTCTCAGTTACAGAATACTTCTCTCCAATGAATGACTTGGATAGATCATGGCCAGGTTAGTTGAATCACATGCAATCTTATGAACATGGATAGAGGTGAGGGGAGAAGAGGCGGAAGGTTTTTTCCTGGTGATTTATTTTGACTAAGTTTTTTACTTGCAGCTGTTTACTTTCTGTATGATTTATCACCCATCACTGTGACGATCAAGGAAGAAAATCGTAGTTTCCTCCATTTCATAACTCGCCTGTGTGCAGTTTTAGGCGGTACATTTGCAGTAACAGGTTTGTATTCTTTCTTTGTCTCCTAAACTGAAGCCTAGCTTGCATTGTACAGTTGTGGTGAGGATTTGAAGGTTTAGAAGTCACTGCATTTTGGAGGGAAACAAATTGACAAATTTTGTGATAGTGCATTGTTACCTAGAGGCATGCCACTTCTGCTTGCTTTTCATTTACCTCTACCATAATTTCAGGAATGCTTGATAGGTGGATGTTTAGGATCATGGAAGCTGTGACAAAACCAAATGCTAGAAGCGTGGTACGATGAGAAACTATGAATCGCGAAATCATATAGTCTTCTCATTTTGCGGACATCCCTTTTCTTCACGGGAGATTGAGCTATTAGGAATCGTGATTCAAAATTACAAGAGATGATGAATGGATTTGGAAGGCTGATAAACTTTTAACATTCTGTTACCGTCTTTTTTGGGCATCTACTGGTGGTAGAATATGTTCTGGTCTAATGGTCTACCATTTTTACATGCTGAATGTGATATTGTAGATCTTGAGAAGGTTTTTTGATGTTGTAATAGAAACATTCAGCATACCGACCCTCAATTTTGGTTGGTAGAACGAAATGGACTCTGTACTCTTATAGCTCGATCTTGTGAATTGTGATACCGTAGCAACCGTCGTATCATTATTGTTATAAGAATCGAACCGAATCTACGGCTGGGCCAGTATAAGATTTATTCGATATGGTATTATTATCACCGCTTTTATGGTTCTTTCGTGATTTTTCATGCCAAGACCTTAAACTCTGAAACTGGGATTCTCAGAGAACTTAAATTCTTACCCAGTTGGTTTTGTACCCAAAACAATTCATTTCCGCATTATTGTTATCCTTTATCAATCTAACAACATAGCTACTGATGGTGATTTGAATTCGTGTTGTTGTTATATAATAAAATAAAAAAACTCATAACAAATATGCCCCTCCGTCTAAATTTTTGTTAAATCTAACATTTAATGGGATGAAAAATGAACCAAATATTCCTAATTTACTCCTAATTTATTTTTAACTATTTATTTTATGTCCCAACTCAATTAAAGATTAAACCCTACCCTAAACCTAATTCAGGTTCCTGTAAAAAAGAAAAACCCCTACCCTAAACCTAACCCCTTTACTTCGTCTGCGTCATTACCCGCCTCCGTATGCAACTTGCAAGCTGAAACTGAAAGATTATAAAGCAGCGGAGAAGTTGTGCAGCAAGGTGCTATAGAGATGGACAACCGCGATGTAAAAGATCTCTATAGGTTGCTTGCAATTTGAATTCCCCCCGCCGCCGTCGAAGCCCAGTGCTTTCGAATCGCCTTTCGGGGCCCGCAACGACCACCGCCACTGGCTTGGAGTTCCGACGATGAGAGTGATTAAGGAAGATAAGCAGGGAAGATGAGAAGAAGTACCATGTGAAGCCGGAGTTGATGGGCGCCGGATTCTCTATGTCGACGATGGTGGGTGATTGAGGAAGACGACAAGGTTCCACTGTCGAAGACAACGTTGATCAGTTTTTAGCCTCGTCCATGAAACCGTACCGTACCGATGGTTCAACCACGAAGTACCAGTATTGGAGGCTAAACTGGTAGGCGGTATTTAACGGTCTAACAGTTGAATCACGGTTAAACCACGATTTTATCATAAAATATCATACCGCTGACTTTTCCGATACGATATCCGGTATGGTTTCATGGACCATGGTTTTTAGGAAAGATTTTAATTTGTAATTGAGTTGGACATAAAATAATAGTTAAAAAGAAATCAGATTTAGGAGTAAATTAGGGTATTTGAGTCATTTAGGGATGGCAGTGGGCACAAATAAAGCGGGCATCGCCCGCACCCTCCCGGAGCAAATCCGCTATCAAACCCACAATTGGAGGATAACGGTCGGGGACGGGGAAACCCGGAATATGCAAGGAAGCGGGGATGGGTCGGGGCGGATATCCGCCCCGACCCCGTCCGAAATAGCATACGCCGCCGTTTTAACATCCACGAGAGAGGGGATGGATAATGGATTTCCGATTTCTTCGACCATCGAATGCAGCCAGCACTAGCAGCACACACTTTCCCCCTTCCCCAAACTTCCATCTCACAAATCGATGCTCTCAATCAATTTTTTCTCCAATTATCCAGACTCCATCACTCCAATCTGCCATCTTAATCACACTTATATTCGGTGAGCCCTTCAATCTTTCTGTCGATTTTCTCCGATTCTTCCATTCTTCCTACCAATCTCTAGTCTTCTAGCCCTGATTACACCTCACAACCATCATCAATACACTCGAATCTCTCCATCAAATCTCTTCACAGCCGTCAAATTAGTCAATCTGCTCAATTAGAAGAAGAAATCTTCGATTTTCCCCTTTATGATGGCTTTGGGAGAATCAAAGTTGATGATTCTGTCCTTGCCTAGCCTCACGCCACTTAACCCTAAGTTAGCCTATAAATTTGTCCTTCAACGAAACTTGTGAGCACGCTACCTTCACAATTCCTTTCATACATTCCTAGAGCTTTCTTCATCCGCAGACAGACTGTAGTTCCCTCGAGCTTGAGAGCATGCTTCTTCAAACTTCAAGACTTGTGAGTTTTCTCTATTTTGTTTTTCCCATACTTAGCTTGCTAGTTTTCTGTGTAATATGACTAATTCTGTTCTTATGTGTTGTTCAAATATGTATTAGGAACCATGGAAAGCAATCAAAATGCCCTTGGAGCTTCTGTAAATGCTGTTGTTCAACCAAATGGTGTTGCCCATCAGTCTGTTAATGAACATCTAGTTGATCCGGCGCCTCAGGTTGCTGCTGGTGGAGCTCCTGCACCTCAAGTTGCTCACAATGCAACTCAGGATGTTGTCATGAATGACCCATCTGGTAATTGATTGCAGCAGGTTAAAATCTGTAGTGTGGAATCATTTCACTAGGATCAAAGTAAAAGATGAGATTAAGGCTAAATGCAAACATTGTCGAAAACTATTATGTGGGGAATCCAAAGATGGTACTTCGCATTTGAAGAGTCATATGCGAACTTGTTTGAAAAAAAGAATTGGAGATCGAACTCAGAAAGTTCTTGGTGCTAACTATGCTCCAATTGGAAGGAAGGACCTGGTAGTTAGTGCCTATAATGCTGATGTCTGTAGGAGGAAACTTGCTGCTGCTATCTTGATGCACGAGTAGCCACTCTCAATGGTGGATCACTTGTATTTCAAGAGGTTTATTTGTTCTCTACATCCTCTCTTTACGGTTCCATCTCGCAATAGCATTAAGAAAGATATTTTGAAGCTTTATCAGTCTGAACGTAGTAGGGTTCAGAAGGTTATTGATGAGAATAAGGGAAGAGTGGCACTCACTACTGATATGTGGACTGCCACAAACCAAAAGAAGGGTTATATGCCTGTAACTACACACTACATTGACAATTCTTGGAAGTTAAGAAGCCATATGTTAAGGTATTTTTGTAGTTTGTTTTGTATATAAGTTCTTCAATCTGGACACTGTATTGGCTCTAACATAATATTGCTGCCTTGTTGTAGGTTTATGTATGTCCCTGCACCACATACAAGTGAGAGGTTAGCCACAATCATGATCGAGTGTATGATGGATTGGAATGTCGATTCAAAGGTATCGACTATTACTCTTGATAATTGCAGTACCAATGACTCGATAATTGAAAAAATTAAGCAAAAACTTATGCTTAATTACATGATGTTAGATGGTTCAATGTTGCATATGAGGTGCTCTGCTCACATCTTGAACTTAATCGTCAAAGATGGTTTATCAATTTTGGAAGATGGGATAGAAAGTATTAGAGAATCTGTTGTGTATTGGTCTGCAACACCAAAGAGAAAAGAGTTCTTTGATGAAACTGCTAAGCAATTAAGGGTCGGTTGTGACAAACAGTTGGTCCTTGACTGTCCAACTAGACGGAATTCAACATTTCACATGCTTGCTACAGCTTTGCCTTATAAAGATGTCTTCTCTCGTCTTAAACAAAGGGATTCTCAGTATAATTGCTTGCCTACTCCTGCTGATTGGCAATTTGCAACTATTGTGTGTTCAAAGCTGGAAATCTTTAGTGTGATTTCTGAATTGTTTTCTGGAACACAATATCCTACAGCCAATCTGTTCTTCCCTCGAGTTTGTGACTTGAAGTTGAAACTGAGTGAATGGCTTCTTGATCCTGATTTTGTCATCCAACAAATGGCTGCTTCAATGTGGTTGAAATTTAAGAAGTATTGGGAAGATATTCATGAACTGTTGGCTGTTGCAATTGTACTTGATCCAAGGTACAAGCTAGAGATCATTACTTATTATGCTGCTAAGTTTGGTAGTTGTGATGTTGAATGTTCATTGGACTGTGACAAGATTAAGAGAATCTTGGTTGACTTGCTTCATGAGTACAAAACAAGGAAGGAGATGGATTCTCCTAGTGTTGGAACTGTTAACCTGGAAGTTTCTAAATCTGGAATTGACTTGGATTTTGAATTGTATGTGAGCCAAAGAAAAAAATCCAAAATAGTTGCATACCAAACTGAGTTGGATAGGTACTTAGGTGAGGATGTGATTCCTCTCGATTTTGATATATTGACTTGGTGGAGACAAAATGGCATAAAATATCCTGTGTTACAAGAAATTGCAAGAGATATTCCGGTTGTTCCTGTAACTTCAGTGGCATCTGAAAGTGCCTTCAGTTCTGGTGGGCGTCTTTTAGACCCTCATCGTAGTAGATTACTGCCTTCTACAGTCGAGGCAATGATGCGTGCAAGGAGTTGGATGCAAGCTGAGGTGAACAATGGTAAAAAAAATCTCTTTCAAAGTGTAAAATCTGTTTCATATGCATAGAGCAGTGTCTATACTATCTAATTCCTTCATTTGTGTTTCAGATAATGTTGATTCTGTTACTGCTCTGGAAGGGTGTTTCACTATGTTGAATCTGGGTGGAGATGAGACTGAAAATGACTTGGCAGGTAATGGACTTTTCTGTTACTACTTGATAATTATTTGGTTTTGTTTCAATTCAATAATAATCTGATCTTGCTTTTAATCCGTTGTAGAAGATACAAATGGGAGGTCTATGTATCTCGACGGAGTTCTTGACCATTAGGATTGACGCTGAGTTGTTGTTGGTGTTGCTGGGTTGCAGCGATGCTACTGCTGGGTTGCTATGATGCTGCTGCTGGGTTTGTGATGATTAAGGTTGTGTTTGTGGTGTTGCTGTTTTCTATTTTGTGATACTGCTGGGTTGCTGGGATTTTGCTGTTGGTTTTTAATGTAATG